CACCACCCCTCTCCCAACCCCCCTCGTCTCAAACCACGTCACATTCCGCCATGTTGAAACCGAGACAAAACAGGATTCGTGGTCGGTCCCCAACCTTCAAAGTCCCAACTAACTTCTGATTTTCGCCCGCGTCTAGTCAAAACACCTGTATACTGTATCTTTCCTCCCCCAATGTTTTGTCTCTGATCGTCATGCGATAAACATGGTAAGGGAGCCCAGATATTCTTCCACTTCCACCGTTTTGTTGTAATCCATGCGCGGTACAGCTTGTGTTTTCGTGGAGATACGAACATTTCAAAGCGATAAGGCTCGGAATTTCTTTATTTTTTTCATCACTCGAGCGAGGTGAACTTGCACTGTGCATGCATGAACTTAGTGAAAACTTCGATCTAGATCTATATTAAATCTATCTAAAATTGTAGATCTAGTTCTAGTCTTTTACGTGGTACCAAAAATTAAATTAGTATATTAATGGTTCGAATAAACATAGTGAAAACTTGTAGTCTTTAACGAGGTACCTAGGTGTAATAAATTAATAAATGGTCCGTGTGAACTAATTTAAAGCTTAATTAACTGTAGCCTTTTACGAAGTACCTAAAATGTAATAAATTAACTGCTCTGATGAAATGAAATTAATGAAAACTTTTAGATCTAGATCTAGAATCTAGATATCTAGATCTAGTCTCTTACGAAGTACCTGATTGCAGTTAATAAATTGGCCCACAGATCTAGAAAACTGATTGCTTATCGCACACGTACGTGACGACTTGATAGTGAAGATGTAGATCTAGATCTTGATTCTAGGTAGAAACTTTCTTGATAATTTTAGCGCTGATAAGATAAGAAGAAAGAATGGCCGTGGTACTACTCTAGATCTAGATATATCTGGATTTTCAAAATCGAGATGTAATTCTGCGTGTTGTGTTTGGTATGTTGGTTCGTTCTGATGGGAGTATTCTGACTTTGGTAAGATAACACACGTATCTGCCCCCTCCCCCCCCCCTC